GTATGTAAAGGAATTTACATACATTTATAAAAACAATCTTTATCTTTTAGTGTAAGAAATGGAAAATAGAGAGGAATGAAATGGCAAAACATATTAATGGATAAATGGTAGAAAATAATTAAGGGAAGGATTTGAACTGGACCTTCAAAGGTTCATAAAAAACTATTAATCTCAATTGATATGACTTTTAAAAGGCTAGTTATTTTAGAAATCATCTTCATTATCTGTTAGCTTTCGCTTATTGAGCCAACTAGTCTGGATTTATAATAAATAAAGACCTCCAAAGCCGATGAAATATCAACTGCCTTTTGGCTATTCACAGAACTTCATTAAAACAAAAAAAAAAAACTGAAGTATGAGTTTAGAGTTATTAATCACTTTTTTATAAATGTCAGAATTAACGCTCTATCATTATAGTGACCTGTTTTGCGTATTGGCTCCTACTGGTTGTCAGCCAAAAAGCACAAAATGAGAGTTGACATCTTTTGATGTTTTACTGGTGTGAAAAAAATGGAACTAGCGCTTAGTATATTATCTAGCCTGAGGCAACAGCCTACCTCTGCAGAAAGGAATGCGGTTGCTATCACTGAACTCCACTTATCTTGGCCAAGTTAGAAAAGGGCTGATGTGCACCTGGTTAAAAGAACTTTAATGCACACATAGTTAAAATTTAGAAGCATTAGATTGCTTCTTTTCCCCTCACATTTATGTAAAACGTTTTTAAAAATTAAGAAGTTCTTACATCATTTTACAGCATTTTATCACATCCTGATTGGAAATCAATGTAGGTATGAACATTGCAAGTATGTAAGCTGATTTTAATATTAGAATTACTCTAAAGTTATATCTTGGGTTATATGTTGTTTTTGTTTAGATTTAGTTTTTAGCCATTTTCCATCTCTATGTTTGCTCTACTGTCTTTTTTTTTGCCTCTCACTATTGTGAATTAGTGTTTGTGGTCACTTTGCCGGTCCTTGTGGTCACTTTGTGTTTGCCGTCCTTTCACGCAGTGGTAATCGCACTATTATGTCCTGTCTTAGCCGCGAGTACAGAGCTGTCATGTAAATCTTAAGAGCGAAGCAAAGCTCTAACTCTGTTGTTTTACCTTAGGGGCTGAACGGAATGATCTCCAAAAGAGGGAAGGAAAAAAAAAAAGGATCATTTGAGGACAAAGGGTAAATGATTCTCAGCAACACGCCCCTGTATCCTGCACGCACATCTAAACTCAGACCTGTTTCTATTCATCCTGAATTGTGACGTTAACACATAATGGAGGAGTATTCAGGTGAGGCCACATGCTTCATGCTCTTCTACTACTTACAGTAAATACAAAATCATGGTGATTACGGAGAGAGAAAAAATACTAAAAGGTCAAAATGATCACCATGGAAACAAAATAAAAGCACATTTATATTTTCTATCATGACCCAATGACTCAAACTGTTGTAGGTTTGAAAAAAACAACTAATGAGTTTGCATTTAACTGCCTGTTAATCCTGTTTTCTGAGCAGCTTGTACACCTTAAAGGGCAGAAATATGAATGAGGAGATTTGCTCTGGGCCAAAGCGGTACTTGATGAAGGAAAAGAGACACGTCCTCATTCTGGCAGGAAACATGTTAACCCTTACCAACCCTCAGGTCATGATACACAAAACCAAAGGTGATGAACTCAGCCTTATAATTTACCTTGAAGAATCGCAGCTGCACAGATTGCCGGGTAACTTCCTACTTAACCTTGTCTCCCGATGGGGACACTTTAAATAAATGCAGTTGGAACATTTTGATGTGTTTTCTGTTCTTATTTATTATTCCAGCACTACTGTTTATCTTTAATATCAAATAGTGAATTTGTGTATTCATTAGGGCTTATTTTCGGTGTAATTGGATGCATCAATATCTTCCGTGATAGAATGAAAATGGGAAACTGTAAATAAAACATTTGACAGAAACAAAGATTTTTTTCCACAGCTTGCTTTATATACAATTACCAAAATACTACTATAATTCATGTTGTTTATAATGCTAAAAATAAAGTATTTTCCATGATAATCAGGGAATATAGTTGATACCTTGATATTTTGTAAAAGAAAAAAAAAAATATATATATATACATACACTAAAAAATATACTGGAGTTTTACAAGCAAGATGTAAAAATTTCAAACAGCTGGTGATCAACACAGCGGGGAGAGGTTCACCCTTATGTCAGATCCTCTAAATAACCTGCAAACTACAGCTGAGATTATTCAGGTTTTATTTAACCCACTGACCGACAGTGAGAAACCTCTGCAGGGTTTTGGAGTTAATTAGTTGGTTAGGGTTGGAGAGCATAAGTTTCCATAAATTTAAGCAAATCATAACAGAAATGAAGCTACTGGTAAAACTAAATTAGGATGACCGATAGAAAAGCTGCCGAACTCATAAAAAGGATGTTTGAAAGATAATAAAGGCCAAAACAACCTGCTGACAGGGGTCAGTATTTATAAAGTCTTTCTGCTGTTATGCCAATCACAATCAGCTTGATTAATATTACCCGTCAACATGCATAAAGGTTTGCATTAGTCAAGCACTATGCAGAGCATTCAATTAATAAAAGAAAGAGGCTTTAAAGTAGCTTTTGTTGCAAAACAAACTAATGGGATGGATTTCTAAATTTCCAAATGTTGCAGCAAGTAGAACCTGGAAGTAGAGAAAGAGAATTTTTTTTACCATAAACCACTCATGTCAGAAACCTCTGTATGATATCTGCCTGAAGATTTTGAAAAATGAATCCAAAGTTTACAAAAGCCACTTCTTACAGCTTAGTAAATATAAGCTCCAGCTTCATGAATGTAAAGCTTTCAACCAAATGGCTTCTATGTACATTTAATACACAAGTCTCCACTGCTAAAAATACAAGCACTTTGAAGCCTGTTTAAACTTTACTTTCTCTGGATATCTTTGCACGTTGTTTAAGGAAAAACGGTTCTGCTCATTACCTAAAACACATAATTCCTGAAGTGACATTTGCTGTTGGGAAAATTATGTTGTGGGGAAATTCTTGATAAGAATCTGAAAATTAGAAGAGCGGATTCCCAAACAAGACGCTGTTCCCAAACACACAGATAAGGAAATGTTTAACTAGTTTGAAAAAAAAAAGCAAAACTGCTGGAGGGCCTGATCAATCACTAGAGCGACTTTATCAAACTGAAAACCTAAAGAAAGAGCGGAAGATCAGAGCATATTGAAAAATTATCTTCTTAGCCATTCTGCCCGAGGTAACAGATGAGTAATGTGAAGAGTTTCTTCATACAGGACACAAATCATGGTTGTCATTACCCAAAAAGGCTTTTCCTCAAAGTATTTATTACAATTCTTTATATATCTTATAACTGGAGTCACTTGGTACTTATAGCTAATTTGGTCAATTTTTATTTGATTTCTCTTTGTTTGTGGACTACTTGATTGTTGGTCGATATCTTGTGAGATTTAGTTTCATGGCCTCATTAAAGAATTGATAAAGAAAATAAGAAATTTTCATTACCTACTGTACCTAGCATATTTTCTACTTTACTTTAATATCCTACCTTCAAAAACTTCTATGGATGCATTTAATATCATGTTTTGGTAGGTTTTATTTTAAAATGCACCAAACTTTCATTAATTTGCTCAATAATAAATTGCAAATCTATGCAAACTGATGAAAAGAAATCTATTTAAAAGACAGGAAGGTGACCTATACTTTAACTTTCATGCTACTGTATGCAAACCCTCTGTCTGCACTAATGAAAATTCACTGCATACTTTAACTGATAGCAGCAAGAGCTATATATTCTAAGTATTTCAGTTCATTTGACTAGTGGGATTCCTCAGAGATTGATAAACTTTCATCCTGACTATCAAGCGATCATTAAGTAATAGAAAATAAAATGAGGCGATGACAGGGACACAGCTAAATAGATTTTAATGGTCTAGATCCTTGTTTGCACTTTACAAGATTTTGTTTTTTAATAAACCAGATCAGAACGTACACTAAAACCAAGTAGAACATCTGGGTTTAAAGAAAGTTAACACTATTATGGATCGTTGTGTGCACCCTTTCAGTAGACTGGAGAGCAACACATTTGTAAACTATTTATAAAAGTGGCTGAATTGAAGGTGATGCATTGTCCAATTAAAAAACTAGAAAATTGATGCTGTAACTAATACCGTCTGTGGACTGAATTTTGTTCCATCAATGCATGTTTTTTTCAGCGAAAAAAAAAAATCCAGAAATGAAACTTTGAAAAACTTCTTGCTCAAGAAAAAGCTTTTCAGAGTAACTTGGCTGTTTTATCAGATCCTATTTTAAAAAATGTCATTTTACATTGTAAAATGTTTTCCCCAGATTTCTCTTTTTAAGACTGAGTTTTATTCTTCTCTAAGTGTAGATCACATTCTCTTCACTTCTTCAATATAACCATTTGCTCCTGAGAAAAGGCTGCCCTCAGAAGAATGGGATCTCTAAAATGCAATTTGGAGGGAAAAAAAGCTATTTTTAGAACTCATCTAAAAAATACATTCATTCATTCATTATTTAACAATGAAATATGAAAATATAGAATTTGTAAAAAACTGAAAGAAATGCATTTTGACTGACAGAAGCAAGCAGATTTTCAAAGTTTCATTTCTGGTTTGCTTCTTTTTTTAATTTCAAATTTCCATTTACAAATTGTATTTTGCAATAATGGTATAAAAAAAGAAAATCACTATTTACCCGAGTAAAAACCCTAAAATATTGTACGATTAAACAAAAATGTAAATGACAAAAGATGACTAAATTATAACTATAATTGTTTTAGTTTCATTAAAAGAGCATGCAGTAACAAATAAAACTGGTTTACACCCACATAAAGTGTTTAAAGACTCCAATAGACACAAAATACGATTTGAAACAGGAGGGTGCACTTTAACCATAAGAAGCTAATAAATATGACCAATTCAATGCAAAAACAACAGGTAATAAAAATAACACATGTTGTAAAACAATTTAATCACATATATTTCCAGTCATAGCAGTTCACATTCAGTTTTAATAGAACCTTATAGTATTCAGAAGTACAAATAGATTAAAATTAAGATTATTTAGTCATACAAATTGATTAAGATTAAAAATACTTACAAAATCAAGAAAATATTTTCAGCTTTGGCCAAGTTTACCGACCAACGGATGATAATCAGCCAGACAAAATTTGTATTCAGTAAAATCTTCATAAACACCTCTTAAAATCATTCATTAGTCATTTAGAGACATTTTTAGCAGCTTTCCTTCTCATGCAGACATAGATAAATGTATGCTTTCATGTTAAGGTACAGTAGCCGTTAACCAGTTTTAAAATATTTGACATAAAAAAATAAAAATTCACAAGCTGCCAAGTCTTAGAAGAAACCAAAAGTAGGAAACAGTTTATTATGACGCCAGTGGGAACAACTCACCGGGCCCAAAACATTCAGAAAAAAAAAAAAGCTGCAGAGACACAAATCAGGGGGAAAATTCCTCAACTGTATGCACTGTAAAAATACACAGAGTGATAAAAACTAAGCTGACAAATGAGCCCCTATGCTCCAGTGAATCTCTAAGGGGCGGAATGGAATGGGGAATCAGCTCCTAACATAAATACAGAGGGAGGAAGAAAAGAGTCTCGTTGCGAGGGGGTTGAATTACCATATGAGGGGGGTGGAATCTGGATATTTCTCATTACCACACACCAGCGGTAAGAACTACATATTAAGGAATAAGTAAAAAGAAACAATCCCCTTCAGTGAGATTTCTACTGACCTGCTGAAAACATCTAAAGCAGGTTCATGGTTTTAAAAACTGGATTAAACATCACAAATAAACTCAAATGCTTAAAAGCCAAGGTTTCCTCGGGCCATGCAATAACCCAGTTTGTTCTGGTTTCCAAGAAAGGCCATGGCGCCCACGTACGCCTCGATGTAGATCGGCTGCTGAAGGACCAGGACTCCGTTGGCTTTCCCAGGAACTGGGTTTTTGGCGTGCGCTCTCTCCGCCGCAGCCTTGAGCTTCTCAGAAAACACCTGGATCTGTGGACAGAAACATCCAACATATTCACACACCCTATGATTTGGTTTCATTTTCAACATTGTTTTATATGTATTAAGTAATGCAGACAGTTATACTGTACGTAGTGAAACCTAAGGAAAAAAAAAAAAGTTTTCCAAATATATTATTAAAAAGTGATACTTGTCCAAGATAAGTAGGAAAATGTTTAAACATGGCCGATCCAGAAGGGAGCTCACATATCCCACATCCTGAATGTATTTTAATTTTAGAAAACACAGAAAAAAATGGTTTCTGCTTAAACAACTAGTGATAAGGCAGCTAGAGTTTAATTGGACCATTTAGGCCAGACCTTCTTGATTTTTGTTTCATGTATATTTCGACCATATTAGTCATCAAGAAGAGGTAAAAAAAAAAAAAAAAAACTGCACCTGAGTCAAGGTAAAAGTCCATCTTTGTCGGCTTAGTATATCAGAGGCCACTTCTGAATAAGGCTAATCAGTGAGGACCAGGCTCGGACTGGTAATCTGTGATACCGGGCATTTGCCCGGTGGGCCGGTCCCTATTTCAGAGTGCGAGGGCCCGCCCTCCTTAAATCATACCGGCCCCAACACTTACTCTCGGGCTGAAGCTCCTACCTGTTACAATATATAACTCAAGGAGCTCAGAAAGTAATACAATGTTAACAACCTAAACGATGCATGCAGTATATATATACAGTATATAGCCCTTCCTTGTCATGCACAACCTTGTGACGGATGGCATATTGGACGTCATTTCCTCAAACTGTAAAATCCTTGCAACAAAATAAATTATAATAAAACCAAAATGCTTTCTTTAAACCAAACTACGATGTTCCTTTTATATTTGGTGAATTCATTTTAGAATATGTTGCAAAAATATGTTGCGGTGCATGATGGGGTTTTGCATCTGTTTACATTATTTGGGAATGCTCACACACCTCTGACCTTTCATGTATTCATTCTTGAAGAACTGCCTGTCAGTCTCTATATTGTATTGTTCTATGTTTATGTTTTTACAGCATTCAGGCTTACGTTGTAGACCTAGTATGTGTGAGTGGGTGTCTGGCTGGCTTCGTGCAGGTGTGGACGTTACGCAGCAGCAGTCATTGTCGTGTCCATGTTAATAACCAAAGCCAGTAAAGCCGCGTTATAGAAGTCTTGGTGATGGTTGTCGTGTGATGCTTGAAGATAGATCGGTTAATCCGCAATGTGTATTCGTATTGTGTTTCACATTTGAAAAGCACGCATTTGATTGGGCTGCTATTTATTTATTTATTTTTGGGGGGGATGCGGGGTCCATAAGTCGGCTGGTGTAGAAGGAAAAATGCCAGAGCCGAAAATCGTTCCTAGTCCGATCCTGGTGTGGACCCTTAAACCGAAGCAGAAATGTGTCAGC